TTTACTCAGCAAAATAAGTAACAACTTTATAGAGCATTCATAAAGTGTGAACAGGTATGGAAATTCATATGCTGAAGTTTTAAAAAGTAGTATTTATCACACTTATGTTGGTAATAAATTACTGTGATTTTCTATTCATTACATCAGAATTAAGCTGTACATATTTATAACCAGGGTATAGAAAAAATCAGAAACTGTTATTATCAAATGTTATATGAAAACAAATACTTTTTATGTTGGAAGAGATCTTTTAAGTCATCCAACTTAATGTATTTAAATTGTTCCTGATGAAGACAGGGAGATCTGAAGCAGCTCATCACAAACTGAAGTCACCCATCTCATTGATGCTGGTGCCAAGATTAAAATCTAAGATAACTCTTCCTTTTTGCGCTGGACAAATTTTCTCTCAAAAAACCTGTAAAGGTCTGCATATAAGCTTCAACCATGGTATCTTTAACCATTGAAAAGAACATACTTTTGCTATTTAAGGAGACTATTTTTTTCTGAAGAATAAACAGATTAACATGTCTGTATATAATAAATCATGACCAAATGGAGTTTATCCCAGGAATGCAAATGATGGTTTTAACATTTAGAAACCATCAATGTAATTCACCCACCTTAACAGAATAAAAAATATATATATATGATAGTCTCAGTGGATTCAGCAAAGGCATTTGACAAAATCCAATATCCATTCAGGATAAAAATTCTAACAGGTTGGGAATAGACTAGAACTCCCTCATTCTGATAAAAGGCATCTAAAAAAAAATCCAGAGCTAATATGATGGTTAATGGAAATACTGAATGCTTTCTCTCTAAAGTCAGACACTGGGCAGGATGTTCATTCTCATCGCTTCCACCTACTTTTGCACTAAAAGCCAATGCAAAAGGCAAGAAAATGAAATAAAAGGTACAAAAATTGGAAAAATCATTCACAGATGATTTGATCATGTACACAGAAAACCCTAGGGAGTCTGCAGAAAAATTTCAAAATAAATACAAATAAATGAATTTAGCAAAGGCATAGGATGCAAGGTCAATGTACAAAAATCAATTATATTTCTATGAGCAACAAATGACAAAATAAAAATTTTAAATGCCATTTACAATAGCATCAAAAATAATAAAATATTCAGAATAAATTTAACCAAAAATATGCAAGACTTCTACACTGAAAATCAAAAAAATATGGCAGAGAAATTAGAGAAGACTCAAATAAACAGATATTAACACCATGCTGATAGACTGAGAAACTCAACATTGTTGTCAATTTTCTCCAAATTGATTTCTGGATTCAATGCCATCACAACTAAAATCCTAGCAAGCGTTTCTATAGAAATAATAAGCTCCTTCTAAAATTTATATGGAAATGCAAAGGACTTAGAATAGTCAAACATTCTTGAAAATGAAGAACACTTTGAAGAACTTATACCACCTAATTTCTAGACACACTATATAAAGGCCATAGTAACGCAAACAGATGATAGACAGTGGAACAGAAGAGTCTAGAAATAAAGCCCAAGTATATGGCGAATTGATTTTCCACAGAGGTGCCAAGGTTACTCCGTGGGGAAAGGGCAAACTCTAGCTGGAATGACTGGGTAACTGCACAGGGAGGAGGGAGAGAGAGGGACTGTAGCTCTGGCCTCACACTGTACACAAACATTAATTCAACGTGGATCACAGACCTAAAAATAAAAATACTAATTAAAAAGCTTCTAGAAAAAAAAAAAAAACCATAGGAGAGTATCTTTGCAACTTTGGGATACAAGATAAGGATTTCCTAGGATACAAAATACACTATTTATACAAAAAATCTGCTGTTCTAAAGGCATTGTTAAGAAATGAAAAGGCAAGCTACAAAGGACATATTTGCAATCCAACAAAGACATGTATCCAGAATACATGAAAAAAAACTACAACTGGATACTAAGCAAATAACCTGACTTTTAAAATGGGCACAAAACTTAAACAGACATTCACAAAAGAAGATGTACAAACGGCCAATGAACACATAAAATAGTGCTCAGCATCATTAGTTTTTAAAGAAATGAAAATTAAAATCACAATGAGATACTACTTCATATTCACTTAGGACAGTTAATATTAAAAGGGCTGGCAATGTCAAATATCAGAGAGGATGCAGAACCACTAGAATTCTCACACATTGCTGTTGAGAATGAAAAGTGGTACAACCACTTTGAAAAAAGAGTTTGGCACTTTCTTATAAACACCTACCCTTTGACACAGCAATTGTATGCCTATTTACCCAGAAAACATGAAAATATATTCACACACAGACTTTTTTAAGAATGTTCACAGCAGCTTTATTTATAATAGCCAAAAGGAAACAAAAGCCAAATGGTTAAACAACAGGTGAATGGTCACACAAATTGTGGTATATCCATACAACAAAATACCGATTGGAAACAAAACGTAGTGTTAGTGATGCACGTGTAATGGACAGAGCTCTGGAACACAAGAGTACATACTGCATGATTCCACTTATATGAAGTCCTAGGACAAGCAACGCTACACTTAGATGTTAGAAATTAGAATTGTGGTTGTGTTGCAGTGGGGCTGCCTGAAAAGGGGCATGAAAACCTTTTTCTAGAGTGGTGAAAATGTTCTAAACTTTGATCTAGGCTGTGGTTACACAGGTGTTTGTATTTGTCAAAACTCATTCAACTATACACTTTACATTTGTGCATTCACTACATGTAAATTATATAGCAATAAAAAGTCTGTTTAATTATTTATACCAAATATCTATTAATAAAGCCCTTGCACAAAAGTGGAATGGTAGCTATGGGCTTCATTTGCCTCTTGCTCAGAGTACCCAAGAAGTGCTCCTATTCATGAGAAGCACAGATATAAGGGTGAAGTTCCTCTTGAAATGTACAGCTTTGAATCTACTGTTTTAATTCCACTCTAAGTGATTAAACTTGCACAACTAAATTTGCCTTAAAGATCCAAATTATCATTCTCCATTTCCTGGTTTAAATAATTAAATGTTGATAAGCCCTATTTTTTAAATGGCTATCTATTTGCTCTCTACTTCTACTGTTCCTACTGGTACCTACTGTCATTGCTACAGATATTCCAAAAGTGAATGACTGGGGAAGAGGGAATACAAGATATTACCCTAGGAAAAAATATTGTTGCAACTATGACTTGGATGATTTCAGCCATTTAATAATACATTAAAAGATATTTCATGACTTAAAGGAGAAAGCATACAATCTATAGAAACAGAAAGTAGGTTAGTGTTTGCTTAGGGCTGAGGGTGATGGGAGGGATAGGGGAGTGATAGCTAAAAGGTACCAGGTCCCTGTTTGAGGTGATGAAAATGTTCTAAAATTGACTATGTGACAGTTGCTTATATCTGTGATTATGCTAAAAACCACTGAGTTGTACATATGAAATGGGTAAATTCTATGATATATGGGTTATATCTTAACTACAGCTTTCATTAAAAAACCTACTGACATTCTGATTAGGATTACACTGGAATCTACACATCAGTTTAAAGAAAACAAGTATCCTTACAATACTGATTTTTCCAATACATGAAAATTATGTAGGCCTACATTTATTTGGGTTGTCTTTACTTTCTCTCAACAATGTTTTATAGAATTACGTACAGAAATCTGTACATATTTTATTAGATTTATTCATGGGTATTTGTTAATTCTGATGCTACTTACAGGATATCCTTAAAAAAAGAGAAAAATCATTGAAATGTTCTAATGTGGGGTAAGAAAATGTACAGAGCATGATATGCTTATTAAATCATTAAAATTTTGGAATAAAAATCACTACACATGATCTAACAAATAATTTTTTCTAAATTTTAAAATTTATTTATGGAAAAGTTATACAAAATATAAAAAATTAAATTACATGTAGTCACGCATTTAATAAATAACATTCATGAAAGGAGTAAAAATACATAATATTTTGGAAAATACTCTGGAAAATTTCGTGACAGGTGGACACCACAGTGAACAAATACTCCCTGATATTTGTTAGGTTCCTCAGTGTATGGTGAAAACAGATGCATTGTTTAATTTTAGTCTCTGTATTTACCCAATATACATATTTATTAGCAAAATGCTTTGATGGCAAAGAAATTTCAACAGTAGTTAAGTTTCTATCTAAAGCCAGTAACATTTATAAGTGTTGAAAAATATCTGTCATATTGGTGCTACAGAGACCTTATTATCTTTTCAAGTTAATTGAAATATTATCTAACTACATTAATTAGTCCCCTGAAAGCAGACAGTAAATTTTTTCTTTCATAAAATACATATTTGTTTTTTACTAAAATGAAGTAAAGACATAAATCATGTTTGGGCTGCAAGTTAAGCCTGTCTGAGTTACTTAATGTTCTGTATCTGTTTTTCATCCACAAAAGAAGGTTGGATGACATCTCTATTTCCCAACTAGCTTTAGAGTTCTGTTAATTCCGTAGTAAGGAAACCACAAAATACCGTATGTTCAGACCATACTTTGAGCAAACACAATGAGGTATAAAAAACTGGATGTATACAAGCTAAAGGACCCAATATAATTATCAGTTTAAGGATTCTCTACTTTCACCCCAGAATTAGTAAACTCTCTAAATATAATTTACACTAAACCTTTCAAAAACATATCTGAATTTATTGAAAATGCAAATGTTTTTCTGATTCAAAATCTTAGGTCTCTACTAATAATCATAGTTATCTCACACTGATATTAGGATAAAAAGCTTAATATATATGAGGTCATTTTAGAAGAAAGGCCATTTATCATCCTAAGACATTTCAGACATTTTGAAAAGTATTCAAATAAACAGTACGTTCATAGACGGGGCTACTTTTCTTTGTTGAAGTGATGTGAGAGATAGCACTTTATCTCAAAGAGACTCTCAGAAACTACGGAATCCAGAAATTATGTATCTGTAATCAACTATAATATACTGGTGAAAAAATTATTTGATATGAAAATGTTACCTGATCAATGACAGAATTTAGCTTGGTAAGTAACAGAAATCCTCGGCCGTGGACAAGGTATTGGCCAAGGGTAGCCATGTGTGTCTCCTCCTCTTCTTCCTCCCTGGCCTCCACCCTCTGGACCACCGCATTGCAAAGCCGGTTGACATCCGTCAGAAATTCACGTGCCAATGAGTTACTGTCGATGCTCATGACCGAGCTATCAAATAAATATTACCAAAAAAGAAGATTAAGAGAAATAAAAATTTACGTTTAAAACTAAGTGTTTTTAAGGCTGTTTTTAACCAAAGAACTGACTTTAAGTTACTGGGCACTGGTATTTAACCCTATAATATTTTCAGACATAGTTCTGATCTAGTTAGGTGCTCCTTGAATATTCTTACATGGCATAAATAGTCGTGGGTGTGATAATCCCTAAGCATAACCAAAAACAGGAAGTGAAAGCACCTACATAGAAGATACACTAGTGAGTGGTGGCAGTTAAGGTAGATCCTGACCTTCTTAAATAGCTTCATCATAGAATAAAAATAAACCCATTACTTATAAACTATTCTTGTTCTACATGGTTTAAAAATATGAATGGATCTTTTAAAAATATAAACTGTTTTTCACATGATGGAACTGACAATCAGTGATACACCCTCCCCCCAACAACCGGGGTTCAGTTAATGGAGGGAGAAGGATTTATCATCAGGTAAATAAAAATTGAAGACGTCTAGCAGCTGAAGTTAGGTCACTTCACTTCTTACTATACATTTAAATCAAAGGGCAATGTGACATTTTAAGATAAAGGAAAATAATAAGGTAAAGCAGACAGGAGAGGAAAAACACCAATATAAAGAAAAAAAATGTGTTAACTATTTAGAAAGGAAAAACCATGAACAATAAAATTCCCAAGGAATTTCAGAACAGTTTCATCTTAGGGCGAAAAGTAATTTTGAGACACCCAGTAACCTTTAAAAACGTTTCAGCCTGGAGAGATTAAATAAGATGTATATTGTGGAGTCTTGCTTCACCCATTGGGGGGGCCCGCCCCCTAGCCCCTGCGGAGAAGGCAGTGGACCATAGGACTGTGCCTATCGTCAAGGGGCAAGGCCAGCCTCCGAGCCCTAATCAACTGAGGCACACCTGATTCAGGAGCAGCCACAAACACCTGGCTGCAAGATGATGCAGCTTGCAAAGAGGCATCCGGCCAATTAGGCTCCTTCTGTCTCATAGGAATTTGAATTAAGGGACATAGTTGATGAACTGAAAAGTCACATAAAGATGGGCCTGTAGTAGTCATTATGAGGTAGCTGAGGCTCAGAAGAAGCCAACTAGGTGAAAATGAACCACTAGGATGCAAAGGGAAGCAGATAAACATGAAAGGGAGAAACCAAAGAAATTCCTAGTATTACTTTGGTTCCTATTCATTTTTGGGGCTGATGATTTAAGTCCTGGATTCCCATCAGAATTCTAGGTATTATTACAGTAACAATCCCCTCTGTAGCATAACAAAGATCATTATTTTTAATATTGTTGATCACTAGGAAAAAGTGTAAAAAATAAAATGTACATTACTCATTATCCCAAAATGTAGCAATACCCTCCCTTATATAAATACTGGCTTTTTATAAAGCTTTCATAAGGTAAAATTATTCAATAAATCAAATAATTTACAATAATATAAACTAATTATATATTATAATATGTACATAATATATAAACTTATTTATATTCAGTCCATAGTTAACAAATTTTATTAACTTATTTCACCTAATTTGTCACGGATTTTATTTATTTATTTTTGTCACAGATTTTAAGGTACATAATTATTTAGTGTACTACTAAAACAAATAACACTGCCAATTAAAGTATAACACAGTACCTTCTTATCACTTAGAACGTTCCATACAATATCACCTTCTAGGTCATCAAGTCTACCCCTATGCACCATTTCTTAAGAGTGCTACACTACTGTTTCTGGGATTTTCTTCCAAAGATGCTGACATCATTCTGTAAGTTTTGATGCTGGCACTTTGCTGATCTTACCAGATAGGATCAGCAGAAAGTTTTGGAAACATTTAAAACTCATCAGATATAGTACCGACAATGCATGTAACTCAACTAAAGTGCTGATACGAACAGCTAATGACCAAGTGCCCTCATAAGCCTGCAAGAACAACCCCTTCACCAAGTGCAGCCAGCTCCCAGTGCTTACTAGACACCACTGATTATAAGGTACACTGCAACTTCAGCAATATTAAAAATGTGAAAAACTTAAAAATTGTGGTAATAATTAGGGTCTATTTTCTGGAAATGAAGATAATGTGAATATTGAGGTATGACAATTACTGAGGAAATGATTTCAGTGCCACTTCCTAAAAACACAAGATGCCAGGTCGGCAAAAAAAAATTACAATATATGCAGAAATGTATGTTATTCCTGATTCTTAAATGTACATAAAATATAGACACAGTTACATAACTAGGGTAATCTATATAAATGATCTGACCTGTTTTGATTCACGTAGATATTTTGGAAATCTTTTCATATGAGCTCTCTCTTACTCTTTTTGCTAGCTTCGTGGCATGCTGCTGTATGTATATATAACATGTTTTTCATTATATAGAGTACTATTAACTATGCAGCCAATCTCATTGAATATTTAGGCTATTTCTAGTTTTGATTATCATAAACAGAGCTGCAATGAACATCCTTACTCTACTTGCACATTTATCCTCTATGTCCTTGTGGTAGAGATTGCTGTTACTGCTTCATATAATAGGTTTTACACATTTCTTGTTAGGTCTCTTCCAGGGTGTTTTGTAGTTTTTGCTGTTATTCTGAATGGGATTTCGTTTCCATTATATAATCTAATTAGGAAAGAAAACTGGTATGTAGGAGGCAAATAGGAAGTATATTTATGTTGATATAGAAATCATACATCCAAACTTCTTACTGAACTTTCATTAATTTTTTTGAAATTTCCAGATATAAAACCCTATCATCTACAAATAACAAAAATTCTGAATTCTCCTACCCAATATTCACACACTTTCTACTCTTCTAACTACATTAGTCAGCACTAATAGAACAACATTGGTAGGGGTGATGGGGAACACTTTTGCCTTGCACATTAATAAGTATTCATATCTTCCTGCTCATCTAATAGGAATGTTGAATTTCACTGAATGCCTTTCAGCCAATCTGAATGCCAACTGAAAAGATGATTGCATGGAATTTTTTTTTTTTTTTGAAGATTTTATTTATTTACTTGACAGAGACAGACACAGCGAGAGAGGGAACACAAGCAGGGGGAGAGGAAGAGGGAGAAACAAGCTTCCCGCCGAGCAGGGAGCCCGATGTGGGGCTTGATCCCAGGACCCTGGGACCATGACCTGAGCCAAAGGCAGATGCTTAACGACTGAGCCACCCAGGTGTCCCGATTGCATGGTATTTTTAAAAGATTTTCAGAAATATTTCAAATACCCAGAAAAGTACAAAGAATATATAACATGCGGTTATAGCCAATACTCAGATTTAGCAAGTATTAATATTAATGCGGTGTTCAGATCAGTGTGTGTATATGTGTATGTGTGTGTGTGTGTGTGCAAAGAAATCAAACCTTACAGTACAGAAAAGCCACACCCCACCCCACTTCTTCCTCTCTTTAGTTGGTGTTTAACATTTCTATACATGTTTTTATAATTTTTTACATGTTTATAGCCATAAAAATATTCAGTATTAACTATTTTAAAAATGTATATAAATAGTATACTATATGTATCCTTCTATAACTTTATTTTTCCTCTCAACATTATGTTTGTTCCTTTAAACCATTATGCAACATGCCATTGTATGGGTAAGCCACAATTTATATATCCATCTCTACTAATGGAAAGTTTAGTTGTTTGTACTTTGGGGTTTAATTAATGTCACATAACTATGTAGTTTCAAAGGCTTAGACTGAAACAAGTATTTTGACTGCTTATATCTATTACATTAAATACTTACCAATCTCTCAACACTCCTGTAACATTTAGAGTCTTTATAATTTGAGGTCATGAACCAGATCAAACAAATATCCTTAGAATAAAGCTTCACCTATTAAAAAAAAAAGACAAACATATTAATGGTAATAGTAAAACACAAGTAATTTTAATAAAGTTCTGACACAAAAACCAATGGCCAGTTTCTTCATATTTGATGTAAAAGAAGCCAATGAAGCTTTTGAACCTCAAGAACACATTAAAAAATTTCTAGAGCTCCAAGAATGGAATCCTGAGACAGGAAGTATTGGAATATACTTAATCTGAACAAAGCAACTTGATCACAGCTCCCTACTCCTCCCCTCCTTCCATCTCCTTACAACCTGCAGGTAAATCACCAGTTAACTATAAAGGAAGGAGAATCAGCCCAGTATCTGTCTTCTTAACACTGAATCTAGGAGGCAGTGGAATACCATGTACATACATACTATGGGTAGCCAAGTTATTACTCTCCTTGAGAGTGAAAGGTATTTGAGGATATATGAAAACTCAGAAAAATACTAAACCCAAACAATGAATAAACCACCACCAAAATTCATATCCTTGTTGAAGTTTTAAAAATGAATTAACCTCAATGAAGGCTATTTCTGAATACTAAAGGATAAATTCCTACTTCTGAGGGTAGCAACAAATGCTTCTGTTGAGTTACCTGTTTTCCCCTTCTCTATAGTTGTGCCTAGGCAGAGGCATAAAAAATATTTCCTCATTAGAGGTACACGGCAACCATGAATGTTTATTTCGAACACCAAGTGTTTAAATCAGAGTGACCTTTAATTCCTTCAAAATGCCCAAACCTAGAGAACTTTCTTGAATTCCCTTCAGCTTGGTGAACAGTACTTGTACCACATTATTCTGGGTACTTGAGGATAAAGGAGGCAGGAAACGGGATTAGCTGCTGTTAAGACGACACAGGGCTTTGCGTGATGCAGGAAAGACACCTTTTCCCAGACTGGTCAGCCCCATGTCAGGCACACAGCTATCCACGCACAGGCTAGGTTTCACTCCCACTACTGCACTCGGGGCACCAGTGGCCAGTGCATCAACTGCCCAACCAAATGAAAAGGCCCTGGAATGAAGTCTCAATACACCCTCCATGCCTGCTCCTGCTGCATCCTCAGCTAATACAAATCACCCACCTATTTTCGACTCTGAAATTACAGAAGGGGAAACTATCAAATTATGAGCATAAAGATGGTATTTGATTAACTGCTGTGATTCTGATTACCCTCTGGTTTGGACTACTACAAGGTGGAGCCACCCATCTTGAGATGCTACAGTGATTCCAAGTAGCTCGGCATGGCCATTAGAAGTGGAAGCTGACAGACAACTGGATCCGTCTGTTTTTCTCTGTTATCGCGGGACATTTCTAGGCCCTGCTGAGGGATTTCTCTAATGCACTTAAACTGGGATGGCTTTTTTTTTTTAAAGATTTTATTTATTCATTTGACAGAGAGAGACAAAGTGAGAGAGGGAACACAAGCAGGGGGAGTGGGAGAGGAAGAAGCAGGCTTCCCGCTGAGCAGGGAGCCCGATGTGGGGCTGGATCCCAGGACCCTGGGATCATGACCTGAGCCGAAGGCAGACGCTTAATGACTGAGCCACCCAGGCGCCTCTGGGATGGCTTCTTTAGCCATATTTTTCACAGCCCAGCTTGGATGTCCATGGAGTTTCACTCTATCCAAGATCGTAATTCTATCAGCCAGCACAGTCAGTTGTGACCTTCTTTACTCTGCCACCACCCTCGATAAACTCAGCTGCATTCTAACTTTTATCATCCTGTATTATGCTGGGTGTCCATAAAGTCTGCAAATAGAGTTCAGAAAAATAGACTGAAGATGTCCTTAGGGCAGTATATGTACTTGCCTCTGTTTCTAAACTACATAAATACCCTGTAGGTACGTATGACTGTCTTACCCCCAAGGTCATGAATTCCTTAAGGACGGGGACCCTGTCTTATCACTTATTCTACTTTACAGCTAAAATGCCAAATTTAAAAAACATCATTATTACTATCATATTCAACTTCTAATGCTACTATTATTATGTCATAATAAATAAAACTTGCAACAATATTACCAGAATTTTTATATTAAAATAAATGATCTCACTGATATGAGGAATTCTTAACCTCAGGAAACAAACTGAGGGTTGCTGGAGTGGTGGGGGCAGGGAGGGATGGGGTGGCTGGGTGATAGACATTGGGGAAGGTATGTGCTATGGTGAGTGCTGTGAATTGTGTAAGACTGTTGAATCACAGACCTGTACCTCTGAAATAAATAATACATTAGATATTAAAAAAAAAAAAAGAAGAAGTTGTAGGAAGGGAAAAATGAAGAGGGGGAAATCGGAGGGGGAGA